ACGGAAAAAAAAAAAAAAAAAAAAAAAAAAAAAAAGATAAGCATTTTTGTATTAGACCAAACTTACACAACTTATGTCAATGTTTTACTTATCTCCATTTACCCCTATTTTCCCCTCCTCCATATAGATTTCTCTCTTCTACTCTACTCCCTACAGGTATTTTGGTAGATTTGTGTCCATTTGGTGGTCAGTTCCCTGAAGATAGAAGTAATTGTGTGTTTATACTCATCAAAACCCAGCACAGTGTTGGGTATGCAGCCTGCATTCAATATATCCTCATTAAATTCAATCAGATTCAACACCACACAGGGAAAAAGTTAACAACTGAGGATGGAAAATGCCTATATTCTCTATTCCAGAAAAATGTTAATTTATCTTATGCAAATCATCCTGAAGAAGAAAAGACAGAAGATCCACCCTAAGGAAATGACAAAGCATGATCACATCCTTACAAGACTTGCGGGTCACTCCATTTTGTCAGGCAGAGCTCTTCTAGCAACTCTTCTTCATCTAAGATCTCCAAAATGGACTCTTTGAAAATTTTAATATCTGTTTCTAACTCTGATAGACTGTAAGAATAGTTACATAGGGGAAGCAAAAAGAAAAGAATAGTTACACAGAAATGGTCAACAGTATAAACTTATAAAAAATTTTTCACCATAAGAATAGTGACTTTTTAGGGAACATTTTTATACTGACTTGTAAAAAAAATATTTCAACATATACCACGCAAATTAAGAATCAATTGCCAAACCAAAACTAAGCTAACAGGCAAAATTAATCAGAGATATAAATGTTAGCAAGTATTATTTACCTTGGAAACACACAATCACTGTGAATTTAAGACTTCTGGTTTGGGAATTATTTAATGCTTAATTAATATAGCAGTGATGACATAAGGGCAGACTATTCATAACTGATAAAAACATGCCAATATTTTTGGACAACTACTAATTCAGGAATTTTAACTGTTAATTCTTAAAGAGATTTTAGGGGGCACAAATCTTTTTTTTTTTTTTTTTTTTTTAAAGATGACCGGTAAGGGGATCTTAACCCTTGACCTGGTGTTGTCAGCACCACGCTCAGCCAGTGAGCGAACCGGCCATCCCTATATGGGATCCGAACCTGGGGCCTTGATGTTATCAGCACCGCACTCTCCCGAGTGAGCCACAGGCCAGCCCAGGGGCACAAATCTGATAGCATATTTATTCCATTTGTACTACAAATTAATTAAAATATTGTACTTAAATTCTGGAATGTATTATGATTTTTTTAAAAAAAGAACAACATGGACTTTGGAGGACAGAGAAGTGGATTTGAATTTAAATCTGCCATTTACTAGCTGTGTAAGTTGAAACAAGTTACTTAAATCTCAGTTTTCTCATCTTCAAAATGAGGACAATTATCAATTACTGAACAGGGTTGGTAAAAGGTTGAGATCACATATGCACGAGAGCCTTATATAGCGTTGCATGCAGGATTATCTTTTCAATAAACATTAGATTGTGTTTCCCCTTTAGCTCAACTTCCCACTTAGGCTACTTTCCTACTGTAAAAACAGTTATGAAACTCAAAACTTTAATAATTAAAACCAAATACGGCAGTAAAGTTACTGAGAGTAAACCATAAAGTAAAAAATGTCATTACCATTAGCAAAACTGGTTATTTTTAAAATGGGTAATAGTCACACTAATTTTATATCTGAATTTATGCTAAATATTTCATTGTTAAGACTACTGAGAAAGAAGTTTAATTTATTTGCCTCTAGCTCCCAGTTTGGTAAATCATCCATATTTACCTTTTGCCATTTTGTAGTAAGACATGCAGTTTGCTTCTGTCTACAGAAGAATGTCTGGGATCCACTAAAGCATCCAGTGTCTCAAGGATCAGTGGCTGCAAAATGCTAAGTTTCCCTTGAAGGGTGTTGATCTAGATAACAACATGACCTTTCATAAGAATTAAAACAATCTTTTTAGAATACTCAGGATCAGTGACAACTCTGATTCAACACAGAAATCCATAATAGTTAGACATGCTGGTAACACTTCACAGCATGGTCAGTGCTAGAATGCCTGTTCTGGATAATTCAAACACCAGACCTCTTGGGTTCAAAGTTCCATGTATAACGTGGTCATTAGGCTCAGATATGGTTGAGAAGGAATCAACTCTCATAAAAGTCTACAGACATTTATTATGAAAGGAATGGCAGATTGATTAATTAAAATAAAATCTGCCATTCCTTTGATTAAAACACAAACTTTACATTTGATAAGTAATACCTAAGTTCTTCGTAAACAGAACATGGTTCAAAATTTCTACAAACAAAGCTCTTTTGAAAACTAAAACAAAATTGTGGCTTTAAAAAATAAAACAAATCAGTGTAAAGTCAAAAGTATACTTCTCATGGTGCCTGGCCAGTACAGGGATCTGACCCTTGACTATAAATTTAAAAATCTAGTACTGGCCAGTTAGCTCAGTTGGTTAGAGTGCAGCCTTATAACACCAAGATCACTGGTTTGGATCCCCATAATGGCCAGCCGCAAAAAAAAAAAAAAAAAAAAGTATACTTCTTGTTATTCAGGTTAACATAAGCATGGTTGATATTCAGCAGAAATGCACTAATATAGATGTCCTAGTTGTTAAAACATTGAAACACTGCAATACCAGCTGGCACACAGCATAATACCAACTGAATTAAGCAGTAAAATTAATGATATAAACTCCAGCATATACTGTTTATCTCAGAAGCACAATTACTCTGAAGCTAAGATATTTTGATTTGGAAACTGGAGTCCAGAGTCAGGGTGCCTCTGCAGACATCTTGTTTATTTTGTGTATTGAGGAGCTGCTTCCAAGTCCAGAAGTCCTTGGATGTGAGGAAGGACTAGACAGCCAAACTGAGGCAGACCAAATTTATTTTTAATGTTTTAATTGACATGCTATTATACATATTTACAGGGCACTGACTAATATTTCGATATATATACACTGTGATGATCAAATCAGGCTAATTAACATATCCATCACTGCAAAAATTTATCATTTCTTTGTGGTGAGAACATTTAAACTCCTGTCTTCTAGACATTTAAATACAATAAATTATTGTTAATTATAGCCAACTAGCCCCACTATAGAACACTAGAACTTATTCTTCCTATCTAGCTGTAATTCTGTATCCATTAACCAACCTCACACTATCCCCTGTCACAGGCCTAATTTTTCAATATCCAAAAGATGCCAAACCCTCTGCCCAGCAAGGTGTAGACTCAGGTAGTGGTTGGGAGGCTGCTGCGGGTGACAAATGGTGATTGTGTGACACGTATCTGCTCAGGATATATCACAGTGCTTCAGGTGGGTATGGGGAGCTTTCCTTTATTTGAAAACATCCCTTGTGGGAGTGGCTGGCATTGCTCATGTGTAATATTCTTTCAGAGGAAACCTTTCCAGGACCCCATTTAATGGTGTAAAGAATGCGTATCAGCAGACAACCTGAGTTCCCTCTCCCTTCTCCCCATGGCCAGTCTCTAGGAAGGAGACCCATGCCAGCCCAGCCTCCTTCTTCCCCTCCTTATCTGCTGCCTCATTGAGAGCCCTGCCTTTCACCTAACAACAGGAGCTCCTGAGAGCTTACCCAGCCTGTGCAGCCTGCTGCTGACCATTATTTACACCTTCTTTTCCTTCCCTCTTCAGCCTTTTCCCTGCTTAGTAACTAGGCTCCCACTACTCACCATCTCATTGGCTGGTACTAGCTGGTGCTGCCCCTCACTGAGTCAGCAGAACAAGGCAGACAAAAGAGAAGAGTACCAGGTTCACCCAATCCCCACCCACCTCATGTCCCTCTACCCTCCTCCTCTCCCACTTTGGTTAGCGTGCTCCTAGCACCAACTCTTGCTAATAGCCAGTTCCTGAACAGTACTATCCTGACTAACAGGGGAAAGAAAATATAATGAAAGATTTATGGGGGCCAGGAAAGCAGTAAACTACCCTTGCTCAGGGCCTGACAGGATCTCTAGACATCTGATGACTACCAATTTAACAGAAAGTCATTAGAAGAACTGTGTGTGGTTCCTCCATCAATCTAGATCTCAAACAGAGGCATCATTGAGTTGCCCCCTAAACAGGATTGTACAAACAAATCAAAGAATGATCTGATGGATGATTTAACATTTATCACATGTAAGCACTCTTACAATATACATAGTTTAATTTAGAGAATAAAATGGAATGGATTTAATTTTTTTTATTTCTATGTTAATTTATATATTTAGGATGTTAAGTATTTTAAATTATCACCTCTCAAAACAGTTATTAAAATTGTATAAAGGGTAGCTAACTTGAAATATGCTTCACTGAATGTCACAAAATGACTCTTAAAGATACTATGCATACCTAGAGTCTTAGTTCTTTTTGATTGGGTCATAAAGTTTAAGAATTAAGTACTTTCTCCATACAGGATTCTTAGAGATGTTTTTGTTTTGGGGAGGATGTGGTCAGGGAGAGTGCCATAGAAACAATACCCACTTCTCTTCCTACTCAATAGTATTTCAAAACCAGAATAAACTCAAGAAGCTAAATAAAAACAGGCTTACCCAATATTGCAGGAGTGCTTCTATAGCTCTAAACTCAAAAGGTAAAGGGTACGTGACAAGTTGACCCCCTCCAGCTAACTGTGAAGGGAGTTCCCGGAACAGCCATTGCTCCAAATTTAAATTACGATAATCCAGTATCAGAAGACACTCTGGAGTTATCACAGCTTTCAAATACTGTTTAAAAAAAAAAGAAAAAGAAAAAAATATATATCTCTCTGTCTCTTTATATATATGTATGTATATATGCACGCACGCACACACGCACACACACACACACACACACAATCTCACCCATATATAGTTGACTCTTGAACAATGTAGTGGGGGTGGGGGGTGTTTAGGGATGCTAATCCCCACACAGTTGAAAATCTGCATATAATTTTGACTCCCCTGAAACTTACCAACTTAACTAATAGCCTACTAATACTCCACTGTTAGGCTACTTAACTGTTTGGTTAGGGATGTCATGCATTCATGCCCTAACCAAG